ATCCGCCCGTGAGTGATGCTGCCCGGGTAAAACTGCTAACACCTTCAATTCTCCCTCAGATGGAGAAGGGAAGAGAGCCGTTCAGGCCTCTCATAACACGAGACCCTTGTGACTGACAGGCATCTTCCCTGAAAGCCTGTGCATGCCTCTACTGCAAATTGACACGCTTTCCCACAGCACCGCTCTCCAGCCAGGAAGGCTCGGCGTGGGTTTGATCCTTCAAGAGTAACTTTAATAAGGATTTTCATAAGAATAAAAGTCCATGGAAATGAATCTTCCTCTTAAAGATGGAGAGCAAGACAGGAACAGGGACACACACACACACACACACACACACACACACTCTAACGGCTGGTGGAAAGACAAAAGAATATTATTAAAATCATAGCTATAAAGAAGGATGTTGCCATCTTCTAAATTGACTGCTAGATTCATGGAATGTGGCTAAGCAAGACGAAGTGTTTTCTGCTTAATTAGTGGCTCCTTTATGGAAGGTTGCTGCCTGGAGAGAACCCATTAAAGGAGGAGAGCTCATTTACAGGGATGTACCTTCTGAAGCTATTCACATTTTAAATAAATAGTGGAGAAGGAAATTGGTGGTGGTGGTGGGAGTAGGGGTGCTATGGAGGCAGAAAAGCTTCTACAAAAGACAAGCTTTGCATTCCAAGCCTGAGTGCTGGGGAGATCAGCTTTCCTAGGCAAACCTATAAGCTTCTAAAATTTTAGGCCAATATAAATGACCTCTGTACCATGGCTGACTGAAGATATAAATAAACCTCAACATGAACAGCAGTGTCAACTGTGAGAGGAGAGATGAGAGTCCAATTGGGGCTTATTTTTAAAAGGTCCTGGTTGTTCTGACTCCGTTTCAGGGTAGGGTATTCATGAGCACAAAGCTGCCGCTCCCTGCCGCGAGCTCGCCTGCTTTACAGGCACCAGCCCCTAGGTTACCTAACCATCGACAGGAAGCTGCACCACACATAAGTTAAATATAGGCTGAGTTATCTGCATTTTACAAGCACCAAGAATGTTATCTGAGGAAGCTGTCATTTTTAATGACAGCACAAACTTCCAATTACCAACTGGGGAATACACTAGGGAGCAGGTACAATTTTATAAGAATGGCTCACAATTATTAAAAGTTTACATGATTACTCTTCAATTGGATATGAATATTTCTCACGAGGCAGGTGGGATTTTTACTCAAGGCTGAAAAAAAGGGGTTTTCTTGAAAATTATGCATTTTGAGATTTATCAATAGCTAAGAAGTAGGGGTGCAAGGTGACAGCCATTAAGAGCCTGGCAAAGCTGAAAGCCTGTAAAAATGGCCAGGTGGTGGTTGGTTCAAAGTCTCGTGTACACCCACAAGTTCCCTGGCAAGTCACAAACTTATGACAAGCCCAATGCAAGAGTTAGGGGTCTGGCAATACATAATCCTGGTAAGTCCTCTTAGACCACCCATGGTCAAACTTCATTCACACCAGGAACCCAGTTTCCTTTGGTGCCATCCACCTAACTTTCATGGCATCTACATAGCTTCATCTGTCAGTGGTAAATACAGAAGGCAGGCCTATTAGCAGGGGTTGTTTGAGTTCTTCCATATAGATCAGATAGCCCCTGACCTAAATGAAGGCTACAATTTGTGTCTCAAATCTTTCAATTCTTTGTGAAATCTTTCCTGATGACTCCAGTCTCCAGCGATCTCTCCACTTACCGAATTTTAATTTGACTTGTGATATTACTACTTAGCCCCAAGCCTTGCTCCAAATAGACCACAGTTCTTGGGGACAAGCCATCTGAATTTAGAATCACCTAGGAAGGTAGAACAGGCCATCAGTGAAGACCAGTGATATGCACTTTTCTCAACGACTTAACAAAACCACCATCATCAATGTAATTAAAAGATTTAATAATCATTAACTAAGAGCTTTAGATAAAAAATCAGGTTGATTTATAAAGCAAGTCAAACGTGTTCTCAAGAGGGCATTTCTGCCACAATAGCAGAAAACAAGAGGATTTAGGCCTCTTCATAGCCACAACCCTGCCTGAGGTAGGGTAGGATGTATGTACTGATGTGTCTGATGGCTCTGCAGCCTTTCCCCTCTCCTCCCTACATTAATCTACCTGCTTTTCCTCCAGAGGATTCTAGGGCCTGCTCAAATTACCTGCCAGCCCTTGATGGTAGACAGGGTTAGAGGAGTTATCACTCGGACTAAAGCGAAGGAAAAACAATCAAAGATCCTCAAGGAACAAGGGAAGAAGGCATACATTTTCAGTGCCACAAAGCATAAATGTTCCTGCCCATCAAAAGCTCAGTTTAGGATAACAATTAGAGAGTGTAAGCATCCAGCAAAAGTGAATTGGCTCGATAAATTTACACATCCACATAGCCAAAAACCAATTAAAATTATGCAGATCTATTTTTATTGAAAAAGAAGATATCCATCCTATATGGCTAGGAGAGAATTACAGAATGGTATGATAGTGTAGTCCCATTTTTAATTACAACTATATACGCATATATGCACAGAAAGAAGTAGCCAGCTATTCGAGTGGTTATTGCTGACCAGTGGGATTATGGGTAATTTTTTCTTATCTGCAGGTTATTTTTTTACAATGAACATGGATTACTTGTGTAAGAAATCATCACTGGTCCAATTAGTCCCCATTCCTTTCCTTTTTCTCCTTAACAGACATTAACAATACTTAACATCAGCCTAACAATAAAATATACTCACTCAGTAAAAGCATTTATAAAAGCTAGAACTCGGGGCTGGCCCCGCGGTGTAGCGGTTAAGTGCGCACACTCTGCTGCTGGCGGCCCAGGCTCAGATCCCGGGTGCGCACCAACGCACTGCTTGTCAGGCCATGCTGTGGTGGCGTCCCATATAAAGTGGAGGAAGATGGGCACGGATGTTAGCCCAGGGCCAGTCTTCCTCAGCAAGAAAAAGAGGATTGGCATGGATGTTAGCTCAGAGCTGATCTTCCTCAAAAAAAAATAAATAAATAAAAGCCAGAATTCCACCAAGATTGGATTATAAAACTAAGAGCTAACAAACCACATAAAAAGGTGGGGACAGGCAGGGAGAAATCCTCTTTGAGATAAGGAAACAGTCAATTTGCTAGAGGTAGTGGCCTTCTAACAAGTGAAAAGACTGAACGACCTGTTTCATTTTTTATAAATAAAACTTCAGAAACCATATTGCCAAACACACACAAGCAACATAAACCTTTATATACTGGGCTGCCAAATGTTACTTTTAGACAGTATATTAATTATGTAGTCAATAACTATGGGTTTCATTAGTGTATTAAATACCATGATCAATATTATTCATACTTTCGAAGACAGGCCACTCAGGAAAAAAAAGTGCGGGACGGGGAAAATTTTGACCCTGCAGTTCAAAAAAGTCAGAACAGCACACTGGAGATTAGCAAGGCTTTAATGGAAAGCATAAAACACTGAAAATATGGACAGAAATCAGATTATTACCATTTTATTTTTTTTCCTGCCTCCTTCACAATGAGACTGGAGGGAATCCAAGAACCATTTAAAATAGAGGTGAAATGATTCGATTTTTTTCCTAATTGCCTAACGCTGATGTCACGTGTACGCAAAATAAACACTGATCTCCAAGTGAAAGATGAGACATAGAAAAACATGAACAGCCTTTCGAGGTAAACTATATCCAAGAGAATTCGAAGAACTGTGGGCCAGAATCTATTTAGGCAACCCTCAGGGACCTGAATCTCTTAAAAGCCTAACAGTGGAGCCAATTTCTGATGCTCCTCTACTGGTGATCTGATTTTTAGTAGGGAAATCTGCTAAACATACCCCCTCAAGGGAGGGAGCCACCCTCCCCGAGCGCACCCCTGTGGATTCATGGATTTCTAATCACATCCATGTCGATGTGCTGGTTGCATCACGTGGGTATTGAGAACTCGTGGTGACTGGTACAATGGTGAGACGCATCACAGTAACGCCGCCAGTCAGTCCTCTTCCCGGGATAGACAGACATGTTGTGGGGAGAAGGGAATGCTGGTAGTGGGTATAAAAGACTGCTTACTGTACTGAAAGCTAGATTAGTGCTTCCAACCCACAATTTGTCAATCCAGAATAGTGTTGAAGACTGTAATTTTCTAGTCAGTGCTTTATAAGCCAAGGTCAGACAGAGAAAAGCTTCCATAACAATCGCTGAGGCCTCAGCTAGAGAATCAAGTGCAGTCCTATGACCATCTTCTGAGACTAGAATGTGTCCAATTAGTGGGCCTGAAAAAAAGACCCTGTATGTCTGTTGTGAGGAATGGGAGCCGTCCTGTGTAGAGCTGGCTGGTTCCTCCTGAAAGAGGACAGCTAAGGATGAAAAGGACGGGATACCATCCCTCTAGAGCTCCACACAGGGCCTCCGTACGCTGCATCTGCACAAATTAAAAACCAGGTCCTTCTGCTGCAGACTGACTGCAACACTGCCTAGACACTTGGAGAGAGATGTGCAGCAAATGCCAAGCGGGGGATTGCAGCAACCGGATAGATAATTAATATGATTAGGAACACACAGAGCAAGCATGCTCTTGCTGACTGAAAAGCCCAGTAGCATAATTACTGTTTTCTTACTAGCTCACTGTCTGTACACATTTCAAAGCCTGGTTGGTGTTAGACTGCTGTGTAAACATCAATAAAATCCCAAAGTGCCAGATCATCAGCATTCTTGGGCACAATGGCTTTTTGTTTTTAGTGTATTCATTCTTTTAAAGATGCATTTCAGGGTTGCAAACATTAGGAAGAACAATCTCCATGCCTTGGACTAATCTTCGAGTCTGTAATGAGTTAACATCTCCCCCAAATGAACATTTATTATGATGGCTAATTAACTGCTTTCCAGTTACAAGAACCCTTTGCATTCAAAGAAAGTAGGATTCATGAGCAGAGAATATATTGTTTATTAAAACAGAGCAAGGGAAACAAAAGGCTTCTCCCTTCAAAATACCTTCTATTTAACACAGCTTTAATCAAGAAATGAAACATACAAATGCAAGAAATATGTACAGGTAGAAAAAGTGTGCACTCGCCAACCAAAATGCAACATTAATTGAAGTGAAACTAAAGCAAGGCTTTGTAGTTGCCTGGATGTCCCTAGGGGACAGCAAGTCAATGCTTATCAGCCTTCCTCAGAAGAGACAATTTTGATTAGTATCAGACCCATCTGACTCAGTCTATTAAACCCTGAAGGAAGGATATTCTTCAGATATAAAAGATACGTCTTTGATTAATAATTCTACCCTATTGCCATTCCAAGCATTAACAACTATGTGGCACCTCTAGAAAGAGAGAGGCTTTGAATTCTAGGAAGATACGCTTACTAAAATACCCAGGTTCCACACAACCACTTCTTCGCTCTCCCTCCGGAGAAGGAACCCAAGTTGCGAAGGTGTCCCATTGGAGAAGCAGAAACCTAGTTACATAATTTATTTCACTGTCTGCAGATTTAGGGTCAATTACTTGCAACATAATTCCTGCTTGAAGATAATGAAATCTTAATAAAACCGACAAAAGCCTGAAGGCAGAGGGAGGGACTGGTACTAGACTACCCGCTAGTTGACCCCCTAAGTCTGACAGAGTTTACATTACAGCCATCTGAGCATATTTTCCTTTGCCTACCAATAGTTCCAAGATGCATATAAGAAAGGAAATTGCTTAATCTACCATAAAGAAGCTCTATGCTCTGTGTAGCTAATGTGGAATTGTCACACAGGGGGTGGGAAGAAATCAATTGCATTTCAGCTCTTTATTTTCAAACTTCTGCCCAAGCAGCATCGCTCTTCTCACATTACTGCGTTTCTCCTGATGTTCGTGATCAGCCTTCTGCCATATTCTTTGTAGTCCACGGGCTTCACGTCCATCACAGTGGCCTTAATTCGAGACTCATCCTTTGAGAAGAGAAAAGCAGTTTGTGAATGAAGGAAAGCCCGTGGCCTGGAGCAGTGGTGATAACCCCCTTTGCTTCAGTAGTTGCAATGATCCCAGCAGGAGAACACACAAAGACACGCTGGATTCCGAGTTCAGTAATTCCAATAAAAAGAAAATGATGAGTGCGAGCCGAGTCCAGAATTTCTGGGGCTGGGAGAGTGGAGAGAATCCTCCCTTCAACACAGGCCCCTTGTCATCCTTTCCTCAGGCTCCCAAACACTCAGAAACCTGGAATCCACCTGGGATGGACCTTAGAGGGCTCATCATGTTCAACTTATTCTCTTAACAGAGGAGGAAACAGGATCTCTGAGAGGGTAAGTGACTTGCCTGAAGCCACACAGGTAGTTCTGAAAGCTGAGTGTGTGTAAAAGAAAGGAGGAGGACCTGGTTTGGGGCCCATCTCAGCTCTCTCCGCACTTCACCTTCCTTGTCCACACCACGATGGACGGAATGACCCTTCCAAGCCCTCCCTGACCTCGCCCCACTCTGACATTGTATCACAGACACTTGACTTCCCATGTCATTAACTCACAAAACAAACACATCTATCAGCAGGTATTAAGGATAAGATCTAGTAACAAAAGAGAATGAGTAAACCCTGCAACAAGCAGGAGTGTTTTCAGAATTCTCTCTCCTCACTTGTTCATCAGGACTAGACAGCACCTTTAGAGGCAGAATGGGGTGATGCCCAGAAAGGCTGCAGAGCCTAGCTCAGGGGTTCACAAACTTTAGGGTGCTCAGTAATTACTAAACACAGTCATATTTATAGGCACGGTAAAGGGCAAAGCTCAGCAGCGGAGTGCCTGTGCTGGAATCTCAGCTCTGCCATTTGCTAGCACAGGACTTCAGGCAGTTACTCATCCTCTGTGTGCACCTAGTTTTTCATTGGTAAAACAGGGATAACCACAGTTCCTATAGACAGGGTTACTGCCAGGCTCAAGTGAGGTAATACATGTGAGGTAAAGGGTGTAGAGCAGTATCTGGCAGATAACAAGTGCTCAACAAATGCTGTTTTATTATGACTATGCAACTACAGGATGTTATGAGCAATGCAAGGAATTTTAATTTTCAAGGTAATTTTAACTATGTGTGGTCTTTGACTCACATGCTGCCTTTACAATCCAAACCTTGTGAAGATGTGAGTCCACTAGACACATTATCATTCTTTGTTAGTACAAACAAAAAAAAATCCCAGGTTTTAACTGAAAAGACCATAGAGCATTTTTTCCCTTATATGTTTGTCTCTGAACAAGACACTTATCTCTCTAAGTCCGTTTCCTCATCTGACAACAGGGATGAAAACGGTACCTCAGGGTTGGGAAGATTCAATGAGTAATAAAAGCAGGGTGCTCAGCATCAGGTCTCGCACACAGTAAGCGTCAAACTGACAGCTAACACTGTAATGTTGTGGGTGACAAACAGCAGTTGCCCACTGCTAATTAACCCTTCTGCCGCCTGGGTGACCTCACTTACATTGAAGGTCTCTAGTTTGACCCTGATCCTGAACGTGAAAGATCGAAAGTTGGCATTCTGGAAAACTTCCTCAAACGCCTGCTCATTCTGCAAAAACAAATATAAACCTTTAGGCATTGAAACTACCAGATCATTTGAAAATATCTATAAGACTTTAAAAAAGACGTTGTGAAAAATCTCTCTGAAAAAATTATTACCCCCAGTGGTTTGAAATTACTTAGGAATGACTAATCTACAGGTGACTTCATTACATAAAACTAAACTGTTTAAGTAGAATTTTATTAAAAATTAAAATTCTAGCTAGAGTAGTCAAGTTCAGAGACAGAAAGTAGACAGATGGTTGCCAGGGGCTGGGAGAAGGGGGAAATAGGCAGTTAGTGTTTAATGGGCACAGAGTTTCAATTTGGAATGAAGAAAAAGTTCTGGAGATGGATGGTGGTGACGGTTGCACAATAATGTGAATGTACTTAATGCTAATGAACTTAAAAATGGCTAAAACAGGGCTAGCCCCGTGGCTTAGCGGTTAAGTGCGCGTGCTCCGCTACTGGCGGCCCGGGTTCGGATCCCGGGCGCACACCAATGCACCGCTTCTCCGGCCATGCTGAGGCCTCGTCTCACATACAGCAACTAGAAGGATGTGCAGCTATGACATACAACTATCTACTGGGGCTTTGGGGGAAAAAAAAATTAAAAAAAAAAAAAAAAAAAAAAATTTGCAAAAAAAAAAAAGGCTAAAATAGTAAATTTTATGTTATAGATATTTTACCACAATAAAAGAACTGAAACACTTTTAGAAAACACATTTCTAAACTTCAAAAGTTTGTGATGGAATAGATCTGAGGCCCAGTCTCTTCATCATAAATTAAGAACTGGGGGGGAAAAAACACTCAGAAAAAAGCTCAAGTTGTCACATACATTATTTCAGCCTCTGTAGTTACAGCTATTGATTTGGTGAGCAAGGGAAACACACAAGTGAAGTGGGCAAAGTTTAAAAAACACAGTCCTCACTTTTTTCCTCTTGCTCCTCAAATACTATTTGATTAGGCTTCTTTTTTTTTTTTTTTAAAGTTTAGTAAACAGAGAGGGATTAGAGAAAGCATCTTATATAAATATGCATAAAACAAATATACAATAACCTATATAAAACTAACTTCATATCAGCCAAGTATCTTTGCAAGCCACACGGAACACGAAAACAGCTTTGTTATTTAGAACTCTTGTGTAAAGGTTACTTCACAAACACAAAACAAGTCCTCTGGGCTTTCAGATATGTAAACAAAACAATGTGTTAAACCTTCAGAAAATTATACCAGCTGCCATCATTCTTCCAAGATTAGGGAGAGCATGGAACTACACTCTAAGAATATCATGGTTCCTGAGGGAAGAGTTTCTACATGTCCTCGTTCACCAGCAGTAAAAACAGTCAAATGTAATAAGCTCACATAAAAAACCCTGAAAGGCTGCCTCAAGCCTTAAAAATCTGATATGAAAATAGAGGACCAGGCAAAATATAAAAAATACCATCATACTTTAAAGTCAATTCCAGTTATTTCTATAAAAGGGCTTGCTGGGATTATTTTCAGAGAACTCACGGACAATTTAAAAAGAGGTGGGGGCAGAGCCAAACGGACAGAACCAAAGACAGGAAAGAGTAAGAAAAACACGTGCAAACAAATGGCAAGTCTTTTCTTCTTAGTGGCTTTTACAAGTATTCTGACCAATTTGGAGGAAGTGGAAAGAAAAAATCTATAGAGAGATGCCAATTTGTGTGGCCCAGAAAATACAGCTTTTACTGGTCTTCCTTACATGTTTTATCTAAGCAAATATCTTTCCTAAATTCAGCAAAATTAGTAATCTATTCCCTGCATTAAATAAACCTACTATATGAAAATACAAATTTATAAAAATGAAATGGAAAAGTTATCTTATAAAAAAGGTTACTTTAGAAGAATTGCATCTGATGGCCTGAAATAACAAGTGAATTTAAATTTCCATGTGAATTTAAACCAGGATTTGAGTTAACTTTTCAGGAAGGTGTTTATTATGTTAAAAAAGGCACACTTATATGTACTTCAGGTTATTGCAGAAGGTACCTTCCTGATCTCAAGTGAACACAGGCACATGACCCCTGGTGCTCACAACAGGAGAAATAAGTGGTTTATACTTGTAAAATGCTGTTTTTAAAGCACTTTTATATATATTACTTCATTACCTCACTGTTAGCACATCCAAGATGGGCAAAACTAGACAAAACCAGATGAAGTCTCAAATAATCACCAAAATGAGAAACAATATACAACACCCAAAAGGAATATGCCAAAAAATATTAAAGAGCAAAAAAGGGGTCAGTGTAATCACACAGGAACTATAAGAATAATAATAAAAGATGTGGCCCACCTTCTCTTTTAACTCCCCAAGATAAGCAGCGTTTTGTCCGAGGATGGCCTCTGCAGACTCCTGGAAACAAGTGACCCACTGATTCTCTTGAAAATCAGCAATATTTACCTAAAAAACACAATTCTATTATTTCAGAAAAGAAATAAAAGGAGATTAACTTTTCCCACTCATTGAAATAATTCCCAATGGGAAAAATCATTACTATTATATATGTTACATTCTTTCCAAAGAAATGTGAAAAAGTATCATAGAAATAAGTTTAAAATGTAAGTCTGGATCACAGCAGGAACATGCTCTGCTGTGGGTGTGTGATTTCAGATCTCAGTGGAGATACAGCTCAGCTAAGTGCTCCTTCAGAGGCAGAATCCAGCCACCCTGCACTCAGCTCCCCTCCAGCTGCAATGGCCTTTGGACTAAAGGCTTTTTTGTGTGTGTGAGGAAGACTGGCCCTGAGCTAACATCCACTGCCTAATCCTCCTCTTGTTGCTGAGGAAGATTGGCCTTGGGCTAGCATCCGTGCCCATCTTCTTCTACTTTACATGGGATGCCGCCCCACATGGCTTGATAAGCAGTGCATCGGTCCTCGCCTGGGATCCGAATCTTTGAACCCGGGGCCACCAAAGTGGAGCTCGAGAACTTAACCACTATACCACCAGGCTGGAGCCTTGACTAAAGGTTTTGAATGAGACTCCAGTGAGTTGGGGCAGGTTCTCTGCGTTTTAAATTGTATGTTCTTCCGTCACTAGGAGGAGCTTCATGAGACGGCTCTAAGTCACTGCTGAGCATCCCAGAAAATTGAAAAGCCTGAGCTAAGGGCTTTTGTCCAGCCACCAAACTTACCTAGCAACAGAAATGAGCAATCAAAAGTGTCCAATTGGACCACAGTGTAAAATTAAATAGGGGAGAGTCAAGGAAGAAAGTGGATCACAAAGAATGTAGTTGCTAAAAGGTAAAAGTAAAAGGCTTAGTAGAAATAAGAGAGCAAAGGTTTTTCGTAAAGGTATCATTTTGATGATTTTACATATTCACTTTGCATATACCTGAACTTTAATATCACAAGTTATGATGAAAAATAAGGTGACAAGAAAAGTTAAAAGTTCTCACAAATGTAAGGAAATGTATCACACACTGGGGCTCACACCTACAGTTTACCCCACACTATCCTCCTAGAGGCCCAGGACAATACTCCACAGGGTAAGAACAGCCACGAGAGACACACGGGTAAGCGTCACAGGAAACTAGTGTGCCAGGGATTCCACTCAGAAGTTTAACAGAAAGGCTGATGGAATAAACTATCTAAAACAACTATCTTCATCTTAGCTCAATGACGTTTATAGTTTACAGAAAATAAGAAGCTTAAATGTAGAACTTTCCTGCTGAACTAACATTTTAAGGGGCAATTAGAATGTAGAAAGGGTAGGTGGAGTACCTCACTTTTTTATCTAAAAAGATTTTACAAGAGTAATAGGAAATTTTTTTAACAGCCTTCATTAATAGTATTCATTCAATAGTATTAACAATAGTTTTCAAATATTTTAACTGTGGAAACTGTCAAACGGCAAATTCTAATGCCTTCATAGTATTCTACTCTACAGATAATTAATAAAGGAATTAACCAGTAGAATATTAAGGACATTTAAGTTGTATCCAAGTTTTCAAAATAAACAACAGGGTAATAGATAACTCTACAGACATGTAACATCTGATTATTTCTTTAGAAGAAATTCCTTCCAAGCGTTTACTGTGTCAGAAAATATAAACATTCTTAAAGCTTCTGATATATTACTGTCAAATCAGCTTCTAGAAAAATGGGAGAGAGCCCATTTTCTTGTACTTTTATTATCATTTAGTATTATAACTTTTTAAAAAACATACATTCTTCATTTTAAAGGTTTTTAAAACAGAAAGAAATAATTCTTACAATGCAAAAAAGCCACAATCAGCATGCAGTCACATTCCTCTGAAGTCAGCTCTACCAAGGCTAGAGGAACAGATTATCCACAAGAAAAATAACTAAATATAGGCATCGGCTGTAGAAGCATAATTACTGCTCTCCAGAAATGCCATTTCAAATTATTTTATCTTCATAACAGTTAGCAAGCGTGTGCCACCAATGCCGTAAGTGTACTACATTGCACAGCAGACTAAAATCAGCTGGGTATCTAAATGCAACTTTCTGGTACGAAAAAAAGCTTTTAGTAGAAAAGAGACTGCCATTCAGTTGCGGGAAAGGCCCCTTACTTCTGTATTTATAGAACAATAAGAAGCTCTTTAGCACTTACTCATCTGCAGGCTCCCCACCACGAGCGGTCTTGTTTTTGCTATTGTCTCTACAGTGCGGGGCAAGACTCAAGAAACACCAGAGTAGGTTCTCATCTACCCATTCTACTTACTGACAGGATCATGCGGTACTTGAAATTGGGAAATTCACTGTCACACTTCTCACATCGGTATAATCCATTCTGCTGATCAATCACTTTCTTATTGCAGTCCTGAGACGGGCAGGCCTGATACATACAGTTTTCTTTGCGAAGATACACCACCGTTGCCACAGAGCTAAAATAGTCCGCCTTCAGGAGAAAATGAGTGACATGAGACACTGGGCACTAGGATTACACTCAGGATTAGACTTAGAGGCCACCCAAAGCTTGCCCTTACAGATAAGTGATAAGTGTTTATAAATTCGAAGTCTCAAGATCACAACATGATTACAGAGCATAATTCATTCTGTAGTTTTCATTTTTATTTTTTTCCCCCAAAGCCCCAGTAGACAGTTGTATGTCATAGTTGCACATCCTTCTAGTTGCTGTATGTGGGACGCGGCCTCAGCGTGGCTGGAGAAGTGGTGCGTTGGTGCACGCCCGGGATCCGAACCTGGGCCGCCAGTAGCAGAGTGCGCGCACTTAACCGCTAAGCTACGGGGCCGGCCCCATTCTGTAGTTTTCAAAATCACTTATGCTGATTACAAAATCCATGCAGGTAATAAACCAAGTTCTAAAGCATATAATTCCTCAACAATAACAGAGTTAATTATAAATTAGACTAAATTAATTAATTAAAACTGAAACAGACTATACAAAAGACAGACTTCAAGAGACAAAAGACCTGTTCTTCCTGTTCCTCTGACCTTCCAAAGGTACCAGATCTAGGAAATAAAGAGTAATGCAGTAAAATCTAGGGCAGCTATGGTCAACCATTCCTCCCACATTAAAAACAAGAGCACTGATTTCTAGGGCCTAGATTCACCTTCATCTTTGTCCAGGCCAGGGGTCTTTTCTGTAAAAAGCCTCTAGTAAATATTTCAGGCTTTACAAGCCACTTGGTCACAGTGTCTGTTACAGCTCCTCAACTCTGCTGTGGTGGTGCAAGAGCAACCACAAACAACAAAAATGAAAAGATGTGGCTGTGCTCCAATAGAACTTTATTTACAACAGGCCGCAGGCTTTGGCCTGTGGGCCGGTTTGTCAACTCCTGGTCTAAGCTGTCAAATCCAGCAGAACGCACAAATAACTGAACAACTGCATTCACGGTGGAGAAGTCACTGACAAGTAAACGCAGCAGGGACTAAGTCACGTGCTTGAGCTTTATGTTGTTATTCGTGTTGCTTTTTAACTCGCACAGAAAGGATATGGATGAATACTTTTTGGGGTGGGCAGTTCCCTCTGGGTGTACTCTAAATTCGGAGCCAGGTCAGCAACCTCTGGGGCTTTCCAATGTCTCAGACCAAAAGAGGCAAAACAATAACGTGGATGTTTAAAGGGCTTGGGCCAGTCCTCAACCTAGAAGGCTCTAGAGAGTAAGTCTCCTAGGAGAATGCCTAAAGAGTTTTTCTGTATTTCCAGGCAAGTTCCAGTTGCAAAGCATGACTTGAAAGTTTGGGTGCAAATAGGTCTCTCTAGGCCTGATCTCTCATATTACATACTGTCCACCGTGAGACCTAAAGGAGAAATTGGTGACAGCAGAGTCCAAAGAGTGGCTATTCCTACAACAGGACAACACAGATCTGTCCAATGTTCAGTTCTCGAGATGCTGTATAATAGCTTTATAAGTTGCAACTGATGACAATGATGGATAAGAGAACACAGCAAAATGAGACAATAAGGAATAAAAACTATATTGTATAATATGAAAATAATAAAGCAGGAATTGCTATTTCTGGGAGCATAAAGGAGAAATAGATGATTTAAATATTGAATTGCTGACAGAATACAGGTTTAGATCAATGGGAAGCAGGTCATTAAATATAAACATTGAAAGGGAAACTGCAACTAACACCCAACACCAGAGCCAAGTCTTCTCAGAGAATACCGGCAACTCTCAGCCCAGGGCGGGTTCCTCCTCTACAGCCAGTGCAAGTACGCGTGAACTGCCTGATGTCCCACACTGAGCCTGACTAATGCTCGGGGTGAGCTGTAATCTCAAAACCGTCTTCTCACTATGTGGGCATTTCAATTTGCAGGAACAATCACAGAAAAGAAATACGGACCTGAAGGCAGTTCATATTCTAACACCAAGGTGGATTATTACCACTTCATTAAGATCCCTCTAAGAACCAAACAACTCAAACAACTCTCTAAGTCAGAGTTCTTAACATGTTTCTGCCTCAACATACCTGAGGGATACAACATACTCCTATTACTAAGCACAGCTCCTTCCCTCTGGCAGTGACTCGCAACTACCACACCACGCTCTGTCAGAGCTCCAGTCAAGAATCACAGCCCTGAACTAATGCCTCACAGCTGGTACCAGAAATCAGTTTTGAAAACTCATCCTTTTGCACACATTCCATGATTTTGTGAAGAAAGTTAGGAATGTAGGATACCTTGTCACCTTGGCCCAGGTTCTCCGATTTAACCTCATATAAAGTCTTCCAGTTGGTGTTGCTCCCTCCTGTTCCTCCACCCTTTAGATCAGAGATGGAAACACCATCTAAAGCTTGTCCTTCTGAGTCAAACCTGAAAAATAAACAAAGAATGACAGGCACTTTATATACTTATTGAATATGCTACTTGTTTCTATATGATAGATACAGGCTATCCACCCCTCACTCAATTTTCATAGGTCATGATCACGCGGGCTGAAATTAGTATCTTTTCACGCAGGCTGAAATTAGTATCTTTCTCATTGTATCTTAAGCCTACTGAAGAAACTGAATGACCTCATTATCTCAATTGCTTTGATGCCCCCCAGTGGTCAAGAAAGACAGTGCCAGAGTACCACAGGACTTTTTCTTAAAGTAGCCTTGCATATCAACACTGGCCTGAGGGCCCAAGGCCCAAAAACAGTAATCTGTAAAGTCAACAATAAAAAAGCAACAATGTAGAGCTCTGGTATAGTTCTTTGGGCTACTGATGCTCATTCCAAAGGGCAAATGCATTTTTATCATCACTGAAATGTATCAGTATAGAAAGTGACAGGCAACATATTGTAACAGGGTAGCAAAAAATGTTCCCATGACGAAAGATCTTTTAAGCCTGATATAGAGTCCAAAAGATTATATAACCCGAAGTAATTTATTAGAAGATACTGTTTTCTTGTAGATTTACCTTTTTAGCGAGATTTTACTTACGCCAATATTAAAGCTAAAACTAATTTGTATTAAATTATTATTAAAATTGATTATACTTCTTGATCACATATCAGCTGATACAAAGGAAAGGGGGCCAGGAAGAAAGTGGCTCAGAAATATACTTGTGACAGGAAGGAGTCGGTCTGAGATTAAAAACATGCCAATGTCAACCAAGAGGAGGATAACTAAAAACTGACCACATACAGAACAGGCTCCTTAAAAAGACACCATCTAACAGAATAGATGCTACCATAAGCTGCAGACAACTGCCTTCTCATTCTGTCAGGTAAGTGGCTAAATTCGTCACAGAGGCACAGCAAGGTCCATAAATCTGTATCGTCACCACTAGCTACACAAGTTTATGGTTTCAAAAACTCCAAGGAGACACTTGCCACCAAAGACAGCTCATCAGGAATCAACAGAGCAAGGAGAGAGGCAGTGCTTCTCACAATAAAAATTCCACATTGTTATAACCAAGATCTAAACATCTCCAATCCCCGCCTAGGTAGAGTGTGTGCAGTGAACTTCTCTTTGATCAATGCCAAGTTATTTCATTCTGGAGACAGCCATGTCTTTTTATGTTGACCAGGATCACAGTTACTGACAAGTAAAATAGAAGACCTTAATGTGGGCATGCAATTAACATGGGGTTCAAGCTCCAGAACCTGAAAGAAAATTGGGCAATAAGGACAAACCAAAGCTGCAGTTATTTCTGGTCAGACTATTAACGGGCCCTGCCTTACAATGCAACGCCAACTACCAGAATAGTTAACTACAGATATATGTGGGCCCCACGTGTGAGGCTGGCTTAAGCAATATGAACACTCCAGTAGACGTTTAAGGAAACTACTCAAATCCTAATGCTACTGGTTCACGTTAGACTCAAAACAAAAGTGGGGAGATGTAACATGAGCTAATTCTTTAGTCACTTAACTCCTAAGACATGGCTGGAAACCAACACACTTCCCTCTGTGACTACAGCTATACAAATTATTTAAGCTCAAGCTAGTTAAACTGTTTTCCCTAACCACATCAATTCTGGCATACCATGTTCCAGTTTGAAGTGTTTTTTAAGGCAGAATTTTAACACCCTAAAAAGCTAGATGTACTGAGGAGATTTTAATAGGCTCTTCTCAGCCCCTGAGTGCTTTGAGAATAACAATATAATGCCAACAAAAGCCCACTGTTCCCACCGCACTTTATCAGAGTCCAGTGAATACACACTAGAAGATGCGATCGGCACCAAACACTGGACAGAACAAGAAAGCACTTTCTCCCCCAACACCACAGAAGCCCACAGCTTTAAACCTAGAAAAGAAAGATACCTTCAGCTTACAGTGCTTCAGCAAACAGCTGCGAAAGTCTGGCCCTCCTCTGCTTCTGGCAGGATCGAGGTCAGCACGTAGCACTTCCATTCTAATTGCCTCCTCTGACTCTCCAGGTCCGTCACAGGATTACATGTTTGTCAGTTTAAGGGTTTTAAAGCCATCATCTCATAAGGCGTAATGCCTCCAAGAAATATAGGAACTGCTCCATTCAGTAATGAGCCCTCTGCTCGGCACACATACTGATCATAAGAACCAAAAGAACCAGCTCTTCTCAAAGCCCAGGCTCAAATAACCCCTTTGTTTAGCCCCATAAAACCTACCATCCACGAAGCTTATAGGCCTCTGAGATGTCAGGATTCATAATGACCATGCTTGAAGACAGTACAGAGAGGCTCCGTCCACCAAAATCAGAAACTCTGGCTCCTTTGATAGCCATCACGGGTTGTCTAGAACCATCAAATCTATCAGCCTGCATAACAACAAAAACACCAAACAAATGCAAACAAGTGTCATTGGCAGGAAGAACATATAGAGTATCTTTATAGGAAAACAGTCAATAGTAGAGTGAATGCAATAAACGGTACATGGAATCTATACCAGATAACCTCACACATAAGAATCTGCTCAGAGACACGTCAAAACTGATCTAGAGTTAGAAGAAAGAGCATTTCACTATGTAAAACTGCCATCATAGCAAATCTCACAGAAGTAAATCAAATAAAGAATTTCAAATATTCCCTAGACAGCCCAATCCTTCACTAGGAAGGGTCTACCTGGCCTACACGGCCAAAACCTCACAACTCACAGGGCAAGACAACCACTTAAGAAGTTCATGTCTCCGTCTTTCTGCACATGCTCTAACTGCTCAATGCAAGTACTTACATCTTCTCCCCACAGAGTAGCTGTCACCACTTTCCCTGACGTGTCCATCAGATAGATATTTCTCTTAGAAACTTCTCTGTTGTTAGATTTCACTGTGATTTTAGTGGCATCGTCATAGTTCTTGCAGATCCCAATTACGTCTAAACATAGACACAATGTTTTAGCAAGAGATGGTCAAGCTCCCATGATAGCACGACCAAAGGCTGAACAGCAAGCACTTAAGTCTTACACCTCCTCGATACGTTGCAAACAAAACTAATAATCACCATTCTCTTTGCTCTCATACAGACTTACCTACAAGTGAGTCTTTAGACTTGTTCTCTAGCTCACCAATCCCTGTGAAATCAAATTGCACTGTAGGTAAATGATGACCATCTTCACAGGGCATCACAGAAGTCTCATTATTGAAGGTCATCTCATAGTCATTTTTAACAGCTGTGAATTGTTTGTTAGCAATCTTCAGGGTGCCCTTAGAGAAATAATAGACCTGCAAAAGAGGCCAAGCCATGGAACATGGGATAATCCATCAAATGGGACATAAAAACCCTTACCACCACCACAGAGCTCTCCAAGGGATGAGAGTTCCCTCATCTTCACCCCCCACTCAACTGTTTCAGTTCTAGACTCGACACTAGCATACCTTGTTCACGTCAAGAAGGGGAAAGAACTTGTCAGCTTGCTCATTGAAAGCAGTAGCTCTGATTTCACCCTGCAGAAGCGTAGCAGAGCAGGTTAGAATTATGGTGTTCGTCAAGTTTTACTAGTGAAAAACAGGACACTTGAGCGTCAAAATGACATTCTTAAATCAGTAGCACAAGCACAAATGGGATCCATGAAAGGCTACGGATACCCCAGAAACACACATTTTACAGTCACATATTCAAGTTATTAACCCTGATGAAACAACCTGGCTGATCTCATTATCATGCTTTATTAACCTCAAGTTAGAAACATAAAAAAACCCCACAGTGAGTTTAACATTCTGACAACAAAGATACACCAATTTTGAACACTGAGTGACACGACTGAAGCCCACAGGGAGGTGTGCTGCACCACAATGATTCACCAGCTTCCCTCATGTTTGCACTAAGCGAGGAATCACTTCATACTCAGGAGTCATTGCCAAAAATGTCATAGCAAGTCATGTTTTCAGGCTGCTTGTGATTTGATTTTCACTTTTCCATCAGTCGAAACGCTACAGATGGAAAAACACTTAAGTGGCTGAAATTTTAGCCAACTGATGGATAAGACCAATAATTTGGTAAAGAAAAATAGGTTCTGATATTGATTCTGCCATCACACTGTCAATATATTTAGGGAGTTATTCCATCTTCCAAAAACAAACCATTTATTTTTTTTCTGCCCTCTTAGAGGTTTGAACAAATAGGAAATATGCAGCAGTTTGAAAAGAATCCTTGAAGTACCTATTAGGAATTATAAACAAAACTAATGGACAGAGAAACTGCTAACAAGACTCTTGCGATTCCAGAACTTGGATTTTCTTGTCTCTTCATCATGGTTTGGTTTTGTTTAAGTAAAGCACACAAAGTTTGCACAGCCAGAAACCATCTCCCACTAAACCATCCCCTTATCAAGGTGGCTCCTGTGTGCCTTCTGCTGTGGCCCAAAGCTCCACTTTGCTCATAAGCAGACATCACCTCCTAGGGCTTCAACTAAGGCTGCCAGCAAGAAATCTCTGACTTCCCCTGCCCGTGAAGTGACTCACACATTTAGAAAACTAATTTCTACTGCTACAAATGCTTTAGTTTAAGACCAAGGATTTTATTTATGACCTTTAACCCTTGCCCCCCAGATAGCATCAAAAGACTACAATAGAGGAAAAACAACAATAACAGTCATGTTTCTTTTTGGCTTACTATTGTTTTTCACCTCAGGCCTGAACAGAGAAGAGCCCTCTATTTCCCAGAGTCCACGACTCCTATTTCCTCACTTGACAAATACTCACACTTTCATCAACTAGCTCTATAGAGAAGAGCTTCCCTTCCCCTCGAGAATTGCTCCAGGTACGGATCTGACTTTTGTTGGTAACACGAGCACAAATGGTCCACCTAAAAACCAAACAGATTATATCAGTGTTTGGAGTCTTACTTGGGAAAGATCTGAAAGGCTCTCTTATCTTCTTCCTATAGCCTCTCTTAGCTTATGCATATTCCACTTTTCAATGTAAGCTGTATTTTAATTCAGCTAATTAAAACTCCAAGATGACATACAGGTTTGACAGTTTATAGAATAAGCAAATAGTAAAATATACAAGGGGATGTGACACTAACTCACTCTCCCGTCAAATAAGTAAATTTATAAACTCTCTTCCTTCTCCAAAAAGCATCACCAAGGCAACAATATCCTCTTAATGAAAGGTTCGAAGCTAGAAAATGCAGTAACACCAGCAATTATATTTTGCCACTATTTTCGGTTATGGGAACTGATATAACTGGTATCAAACTTCTGTCTCATTTTTAACACATATTGGATACAAATATGAGGTAATGGAACGTGGTTTGGTGAGCCATCACAGGAAAGCAGTCTGACCTCAGACAGAGGCCACTAAAAAAAGAGGCACAAGATGCGACATCCCATCCTGGTGCCCATCCTGAACGCAGGTGTTGGGCACACTGGTTATCTTACTTATAATTTCACAGGGGAACATATCTTCCCTACACGGCAAAGAACTGAAGGATAAATTAAAACATATCTGAAAGAATTCTGAAAACAGAACTCACGAATTTTCAACTGTTAAAATTAATTTTTAATGGAAAAAGTCATATAAAAGAAATATTTGTTCAGGGTATATTAATGTGGTTAACACAAACAGTACAGATTCTTTTAGCCAACTAAATGCGAGTAACAATTTTTAGACTAAAAGTCACCTATTTATATGATGAGAAGATGAAATGCCTTCTGAATTAGAACAGATATTTATTTTTACTCATAAGACTATCAACTGATTCTTTAAGCATTAAATATTTTTAATTTCAAATCCTTTCAAAATGAATGAAACTCCATAGGCTACGGCAGACTGCTCTTTTTGCCATTCTTTTATGATAAGAGAGTTAAAGGTTGCCACAATTTGTACCCTCCTCTGCCCCTCTGAAAAAGAGGAAACCTATTTTATGTGTGGTAACCGTGAAGTTCACACATAAATACCTCTTATATTATTTTGTAAGTACATTCTGGACTTATGCTATGGAAGAACTCACTTGGATTGGTAAGGGGTGAGGCTGGCAATGGGTACCACTTTGGCCTGTGTTCCCCCAGAACTGTTCACTAGGCCGGTACCTCCCGCTTTTCCAAATGTCTTTGAGGCACCATAAGCCTTAGATACAGTGGAACCTTTAAAAACAAACACAAAGGACAATCATTATTCTACTTAAATTTTATAAGTAAGTTTTGTAGTAACTCTCAATTACTGAGGTGTCATTGGTGAAATCACACAAAATGAGAGGCAGTTTCTTCTTTTTAGAAATCAAGAGATGGAGATCAAATAGAGACTGAAACAGGAGGCTAGAAAAGCACAATCTAGAATGAAGGCTGGGCACACACAGTTCACTACTATATTTGCTGACTTAAGTCCTGAGGTCAAGTTAACAATGGTAATGAATCCAGATACTGCTGTTTCAGAGGTCCACCCTTCTTAAACTTTTCTCTTGTATCAATGGGCAAGATAATGGGTCAGAGAAAGAAAATCAACTTCCATCAGTAAAACTGACAGCAAGTCACTAGTTGCATACAAAAACAAGTAAGGAAAGGCCAGGAAGTAAGGGACAGGAGACGCGCCATCTGAGGTGAAGGATGCCTATCACAAATCTATCACCTCAAAACACCCCCAGAAAACTCCTAGTTCTCAACTAGTCTACAGGCCTGAAAAGTCTGGAAGGAACTCTATGGGAGTAGGTTTAGTTGGGAGCAAAGGGCAAGAATCAGTTTTTGGTTTAAGACAAGTAGGTGTCTGGCCACCAGGACCCCTTCTGCCTCCTTTATCCAAGCCTAAGCAGCTGCCCTGCACTTGGAAAGAATAGGTAATTAAAGTCTATAAGCACATGAACTCCTTTACATGCACATTGTTTTTGTAAAGCTTCAACCTCCAAATTCAGAAAATATAATTTAGTCCACTGATTTCATATCTTCTATATCAAAACATTTCTTCTGAATGGAATTTGGCCAGAAATGTAAATCTACCCTTATTCAGCATGTATTTATTGAGTCTCCACAGTCTGTACCACACTGTTCTAGAGAGCTGTAGTACTTAATAAAAAATATACAGGAGCCGGCCTGCTGGCGTAGTGGTTAAGTTCACGTGCTCCGCTTCAGTGGCCTAGAGTTCACGGGTTCGGATCCTGGGTGCAGACCTACACCCTGCTCATTAAGCCATGCTGTGGCGGCGTCCCATATACAAAGTGGAGGAAGACTGGCACAGATGTTGGCTCAGGGCCAATCTTCCTCACCCCCCGCCCCCCAAAAAAAAACCATAGACTGTCTCAGATCTTAAAATTTTCTATTCTAACTGGGGAGTCAAGAGAGACAACTACACACACAACAGTAATAATTACCTCAAGATTAGGCAAGGAAGCAGACATACTTTGTAGAATGTGTGTGCGTTTGTGTGTGTGTATACATACCTAATATATTATATACCATTATATAAAACACACATATGCACCCAGTTTTCATAAGGGTAGCTTCCCCTCAATACACATCCAGTCTTTTTTCTTTCACTATCCAGTAGATGTGTGTTTATGGAACATTAACTGATTTTTAAAAATAAACATTAATAAAAGCCAAAGACAGACAACTGGGAAAATAAACCTGTCGGAGGAGGGAAACAAATAACATACTATTTGTATTTCAGCCTAAGGAAGTGACTGTTAGATTATTTACCATTTTAGATAATCTATTCCACCACCTCCCTTCAACAGTACATAATTTGAGAGCTGTTTATAAATAGATCCACTTACAAAGGGAGGTAGGTAAACAGATATTGCAAGGTAGATAAAAACATCAAAGATCAATGGGGAAAAAGTCATATGTCCTGAAAGTTTCAAAGAAACATTAGTGATGTCTTAACCTTGCTTTTCTTAGAATCTCAGCACTGAAAAATAGAAACCAATAGTGGAAGGGAGCAGAGGAGGGGGTGTACGTGAGGCTGTGACAGAAAAAAGGAACTCTAAAAATAAATCCAAACAAATTCTACAAATCATAATTTTCAATGGTGGTTCCTAAAGCAAAGGCCAGAAAGTAAACAAAATGATTCCATTACAGCCTCTCAGGACCTGCTGCACAGAAAGTTAAAGAAACTATTGCTCATCCGTGAGACTGAGAAGCAGAACCTATGACCAACAGAAACAATACTGTCTTCAAGCTCAGATAAATATCCACAAGAGCCCAAAATGGGAAACTTGGAGAGAGACAAGTCAAATTTAATAAGCAGATCCTAGAGAGTTAAAAAGCAAGAATTTAAAAGATATGTAAATTCACAAAGTCAAGAGAGTGTAAAACCTAAGATGTGAGAAACTACCAGATAAAGTATTAACAGAGGACAGTATATCATTCTGATAAAAAAAGGCATATTAAGTATCTTTAAAAGACTACCTTTAATCATTTCTTTAATCACATACTTTACAACAGGAAATGGAATTATTCTTTGCAAGAAGCAACTGTCATGAATAGCATTTTGAAAACTCCCTTTAGTCCCAGATTAAATTTCAAAACCTTATTCAAAAGCCTGATACACACGACCAGCACATGTCCTGATGTGGCAGTCTTTTTTTTTTTTTTTGTGAGGAAGACTGGCTCTGAGCTAACATCTATTGCCAATCCTCCTCCTCCTTTTTTCTCCCCAAAGCCCCAGTAGATAGCTGTACGTCATAGTTGCACATCCTTCTAGTTGCTGTATGTGGGACACGGCCTCAGCATGGCGGGAGAAGCGGTGTGTCAGTGCGCGCCTGGGATCCGAACCCGGGCCGCCAGCAGCGGAGCGCACGCACTTAACCGCTAAGCCACGGGGCTGGCCCTGATGTGGCAGTCTTACCCGTTCCTGAGCTCCCATTCTGTTGCTGGGGCTTGCTGGTTGGTGGACTGGCTGCTGAGACTGGAGAAGGAGCTACCTGCTGCTGCCCATGTCCTGAGGATCAAAAGAGAAAGACCATTTTGTGCAAATAATTTGGGTTAAAAGATTTAAACTTAAGTAGAAGAAATGCTCTGAGAAAGTGCAAATTTTTTATTTTGTCAAAGACTCTCATGGGTCAGGATTCATGCTGGGACATTCAATTGCTCGCCATGAATTTGCTAGGGGTTCACTTTTGTTTTCATTAAGTGAAAGGTTGGCTCCATTTACCTTTCACCTGCTCATAATTGATAGCTTTCAGTTTTAATGAGGTTCTCCCCTAAAGCCTTGCCCATTTCTCCTGCATGAACCTGAAGTAAAGTCACTGGGCTCAATCTGTGACATTACCACTATTTCCATAGCAACAAATCGATGTCATCAACAGAACTGTGTGTTCCTGGCACGATCTATCAGAAGAAAAGGCTGGATGGTAAGAAAAACCTAAAAGCAGGTCAATTGTCTCTGAAGTGCTCCCGCTTCAAAGGAAAAGGAGACATTCAGAAAGGATTCTATCCTTTCCCTCCCAAACAAAGCAACCTTATTTTGCAACTGACGGTGGAAAATAAGAGTTGAAAGAGCCTTAGGTACCGTGAACTGCTAGTGAACTGTCACAGCAGGGAGATGAGAATGGGGTTCAGAAGCAGGTGTGTCAAGGAAACAGGAAGATTAAAAGGAACGGAGGGGAAATGAACACGTCCCTCAGGCAGAAAATAAGAAATGCAATACCATTAGAGTATTTATTTGCCCCTCACCCTTTCTACAAAGGTTTATGAAGTTGAAGAACGTTAAAATTGCAAAATACGCCTAATTTTTAAAAAAGTAATAGGTTTATGGAATTTGATTTTGTCTTTGTGAAGAGCACTAAAAGTAGAAGTCAACCTAATCTGGGCTGCTCACCAAGAGTGCTTGCAGCACACAAGTGCAGCTCAAAAAATTTCCTAGAGTGCCTTAATCACAAAAATCGTGAGCCTGCTGGAAAAGCTCCCTGCCTGCCACCTTGTGTCTACCTTCTCCAATCGCTGGGTTTATTCCTGCTGGGTTCTCCAAGGCCCTAACTCAAATGGGCATATTACACACCGACTTCATTTCCTTCTGCCAACATTACTCTTAACCGGTAAAACTTAATGAGAGTTAACTGTGCCATTAGAGTAAAACAAATTTAGCATAAAATTAAAAAGGTTAAACAGAATTGTTATTCTCTAGTTCTTCCTATGGAGAAAAATTGAGACCTTATTTACATAGAACAAAGAGCCTAGATTATCGATAATGAATTTTTGTGTTTACTGTTTAGCTTTCCCATTAATTTTGAATTTACAAAGTGTCATATGAAATTGCATGGGAGAACTGCTCTTCTTTGACAATGTGTCTTCTGAAGGAACACTTTGAAGTTCTACAGTACACCTTTTTATAAATCAGTAAGGAAAAGATGAGTTGCTCAGGGGCTAAGTGGTTGGAAAAAAGTAAAACCATTTTTACCTACTTCATGAAATATATTCAAAGGAATCAAAAGATTTAAACATTCAAACATGGAACCATAAAAATACACAACTCTCTGCTATACTCCACCCTAGTTCCACTGTCTCAAACATCTAAACTTTAAAGTCCCTTCCTCATCACCACGCCTGCTTCTTGCTGAACAGGACATGGTCACGGTATTGTACTGATCTCTTACATTTAATTTCTAAAATTAATTTATTTTTTCTTTTTCCCCCAAAGCCCCAGTAGATAGTTGTATGTCACAGCTGCACATCCTTCTAGTTGCTGTATGTGGGACGCGGCCTCAGCATGGCCGGAGAAGCGGTGCATCGGTGCGCGCCCGGGATCCGAACCCGGGCCGCCAGCAGCAGAGCGCGCGCACTTAACTGCTAAGCCACAGGGCCGGCCCCCTCTAAAATTAATTTCTACAAAATGTAACTAACCTGTATGAGGTACCTAGAGTAATCAAGTTCACAGAGCCAGAAAGTAGAACAGTGGTTATCAGGGCCTGGCGGGAGCTGGGACTGGGGAGCTAGTGTTCAATGGGGACAGAGTTTTGGTTGGGGATGATGAAAAAGTTTTGGAGGTGCAGAGTGGTGATGGCTGCACAGCAATGTGAATGTACTTAATGCCACTGAGCCATATATTTAAAAATGGCTAAGACGTAAATTTTATGTTATGTATATTTTACCATGATTTTTAAAAAATGTACTTACCTATTTACCTATTCTAGGATGAAAATTTTTTGACATTTTAACATACGAATTAAAACCAATGTATTATAATTTCTTTTTTAGTAGTACATAACGGTACAGTCTTATTATAATCATTGGATTCTAAGATTTAATGAAGTACAGTATATTTAACAAGACTCTAATTAGGCCCTATAACACACATATTAATAACAGCTACCACTTTCTGAGTGCTTACTATGCACCAAGCACAAGGTTAAAAGCATTATTCCATTTAATCTTCAGCCCTATGCTATAGATAGTATTATTAAACACACTTAATAGATGAAAAACCTGGGTTAAAGAGGTCAAGTAACTTGCTCAAAGTCACACAGCTAGGAAGAGGCAGAAGCTAGTCTCGAACCAGGTTTGTCTGACTAGATTCATCCATTTTACCACCATTTCGTTAATTTTTAATGGTAAGCAATCAATTCTGGCAAACAAAACTCTAGCGATATAGAACATAACTAATAACCATAATATCTGGTAGTCAGGAAAAGTTACTAACCCATTTATTAGAGCAATCCTTAACTCCTATTATGGACCACATTCGCAAATCCGGCACAGGAGACAAGACAGTCCAGAATCAAATGGATGACAAGAATCCTGGTGCATTCTAAACAGCAACAACTGCCCTTCAATTTAATACACTGCAACACAGCCACTGACCACAAGACCTGAAAGAAATTAGCCTATAGCATAAAGTCTTTCTAAAAATTAAAATTATACCCCAAAGCAGTAATGCACAGTCTCAACTTCTGCTAATCTTCTATTTTGTGCTACCTGCAAATCAAACCATTCCAATAAGATCGATCAAGGTCATAATTCTTCAACTCTTTTGCTCTATGCTAGCTTCATATCACTGGCTCTGACCCAGGAGAGAAATAGGATACTTAAAAGCAGACGCTAGCTCCTCAAGTTACTTGTACTCACATCTATCATTTTTATTATCACTATAATGGTAAGTGGTAAGTGAGCCACCAGCTAAAAAGATTAGTAACAGACCATGGAGTATAAAGAGTAACTAAAACTCAATTTCTACTAGCAAGTACTTTCTTAACAACAACTACAAAGAATATAAGAGTCAATCCAATAATTATAATTTCCCGTTGGCAGAAAATGGACAGAATCAGGCTGAAAAAAATTCCAACTGCTATCTTTTAATAATGAGTAATACTAATAACTAAGTATCATGTAAGAAATTTAAGTCTATCGTTAGAAATAGTGTAGGTACACAGAACTAATAAACACACTGACAAAAAAATATATACTGATAAATATGGGAGATTTAAAATCATCCAATCCATTATATGAAACATGAATTGTGTTTGAAGTTTTATTTCTCACATTTGAAAAATTCTATAAGTATCTTTATTTAACATGGTACTAGTACCATAAGACAATCTGAATGCACACTTTGGAATTTCTCTGCCTATTTCTGGACTGGGTTTAGTCAATTAATTTTACTGGTCACCTGATATGTCACAGGTTCTGGGTTAGGTGCTGGAGGGATACAAATCTAACTTGAGTTCTCTACCCACTAATAACAGAGTTTCCTTGCTTTCACGATGGACAATTAGAAACCGTTTCTGTGAAATACACTCTATGGTAGTAGTCACTTTAACAAAGCTATTTCCATGATGGTCCAAGTAATGATGTGTTATTGATTTGGTTACAATGAAATTCAATAGCAAATAATCCTGAACAGCAGCAAACCTTCTCTCATCCCTCTGCACTTGAACAGACCCTGAAGAAAGAGAAGAGCCAGTGGAACTGAGTATTGAGACAAAGGAGTTCTGACCCCAAGCAATAACCATCTTTCAACCCTTTCATCTTCATCTTTATCTCAAATACTTTTTCCCCTGAAACACAAAATGTCCAAAGCAACCATTCAATTAAATATAATGTAAAAAACATTAGAAATCTGGCCAAAGGGGATAAAGTTGGGCACAATCACCTCTTTCTCAACCCTACTGCATCCAAAGATTTCATAGAGATGCTAAGCATTGCTTTCTCTTAGCTCTCCTTCCTAAAAGCTGAGAATAAGATAACTGAAGTGTTCATTTTAAAAAGCTTTACTACTGCAAAACAAATGTAATGTTCCAATTTAATATTTTAGAACTTTACCTGAATAGACTTCAGCTTTCCTCTCCAATTTAAAGCATCAAACTAGGGCCGGCCCCGTGGCTTAGCGGTTAAGTGCACATGCTCTGCTATTGGCGGTCCAGGTTCGGATTCCAGGCGCGCACCGAAGCACCGCTTCTCTGGCCATGCTGAGGCCGCGGCCCACATACAGCAACTAGAAGGATGTGCAACTATGACATACAACTATCTACTGGGGCTTTGGGGAAAAAAAAAAAAGGAGGAGGATTGGCAATAGATGTTAGCTCAGAGCCAGTCTTCCTCAGCAAAAAGAGGAGGATTAGCATGGATGTTAGCTCAGTGCTGATCTTCCTCACAAAAAAATAAAATAAAATAAAAATAAAGCATCAAATTACTATGTTTTGTATAGGCAAAATTAAAATCTACAAGGTTCCATTTCTGGAAGAAGCATGGTGATGACCTAGGCCCAAATCTTCCCACTTCTCTTAAAAAATCATACAGAGCAACAAAGGAGAATGAATACCCACCCCATACACAAACATCCCACACACAGACTATATCTTTAGTGAATTCAGGAGACCGAGAAAACCCACCAATTTCAAATTATGTGAAAGTGAAGCTCAAAACACCACAAATCAAGAAACCACAACTGCAAGACAGAAGCAGCACAGATGACTTAAATGTAAAAAATGAAATTGCCAAGTACTA